CGAAATAGTAACCACTAACGTCCAACGAATTCGCTGCTACTCGCCACGGTATCCCGTTGTCCACTCGTAAGTGCCTTCAACAATTTGCACCCATGTTCCCGCCCGAGAGTAGGTCCGAGTCAAGTTGCCCTCGAATGAGTGGACATCGCCATTCCCCTCTGGCCCTATCGGGGCCGTGACGTCCGACGAAACGAAGACTTGCCCAATCTCACACAGAACCTCATCATCAAGTCGTGAAACATCGATCGGAAGCACGGCCCGCACAGACGCAATTGCAGTCATAGCACAGCCCGCCTCCCCCTCCTGACGTCGAACACAATGGGTGCTTTCTTAGTTCGCGCATATGAGAGGGTCTACCACTGTAACAATCAACGGCCCTTGCCCCCCCGTACCCCGCGCTTTCGTCTCGCTTTTCCGATGTGGCGTGGCAGATCGGCATCTCGGCATCCTCGCCTCGCACAGCTCGCACAGCCAGCAGCGAACGAACGATCCGACGGTTCGGCACCTGGTGCAAGTAAGCGGGTCGTCTAGTCTATTTCGTGATCTTCGCGTTCCTGAGACAGATCAAGAGGGGGATGGGCGCATAGAGAGGAAATGAGGTGAGTAAGTTTGAGGTGGGAGTGTGGATTTGTGATAGAAGAGAGACAAAGGGGACAGATGGCGATACAGCGCACAGCGCACAGCGTCATGACTTGTTCCATCTCAGGCAAGCAGGATGAAGACGGGTCAATGCATTCAATTTGCTGAATTCCCAGCCCAATTTACGATACAGGCGAACGAGAATCGCGCCCGCACACGACGCCCGCAGACGACGTCCGCACACGACGCCCGCACACGACGCCCGCCTCACTCCATCTTCCCCGCACCCTGAACAGCCCCAACCCCTACATCTCTCGACGGGTGCCAAAAGTCCTCCTCACTTATCGTCGCTTCTGCTCCCCTCTTGCCCACCTTTTCACTCTGAACCCCAGCCCCCTCCAACCCAGCCTTGGCCCTCCCGACGGCTTCGCGCTTCACCTCCCATTCGCGCCGCTTGAGCGCCACGTCCTCCTCACTGCCCCTCCAGAGGACCCGTTCTAGCACGTGCCGTACCGAAGCTCGCACTATCCCGTAGCCGTGCTCCGAGGCCAGGGCTACCAATAGGGCGGCGATCATGGCTCCTGCTGCTCCCGAGGTGGGGAGGAAGGAGGGCAGCAAGTTGGAGAACGACAAAGGTGAGCGAGCAGAGTGCGCCGGGTCTGTCGAGTAGAAGAGCTGTTTAGCCGCCTCAGTGGCGTTAACGCCGTCCACTCCCCCGCCGGGATGAAGGTGAGAGCGCATAGTGGCCTCGTATGCCGATTGGCCGGGCAAGTGTGCTTGCGGGCTACGTTGGAAGAGGTAGACGAGGCTCGAGTTGCTCATCGCACCTAGCCAGGCAATAAAGCCCAAGATCTCGAGCCAGGGACCAACAGAGTCTGTGCGCAGGGGCACGGGACGGCGTACGTGGACGCAGATTTTAAGTGCGTCTCCTCGCATTTCGAAGAAGTTGTTGATCAGTCCGCCGAGAGGGGCGAGAGGCCAGATGACGCTGTGCGCGGGCGAGGGGGAAAGGTCGGGCCGATGTTAGCTTGGTATACGGGGTGAGGCGGGGAAGCGGGCGTGGCGATAATCACGACCACAGGGTGATGTACCCAAACTGCGTAGCCATCTCGGCATAGTCGCCAAATGTGTCATAAGCGGGCAGGTCCAGCTCGTGATACACCCTTTTGAGGAAGGAGCGCTCAGCGCTGGACGTGGATGGTGTACCGGGCGAGGAAGGCGACTTGTCACTTGCGCCCTCCTCCTTGCCTCCGCTTCGCCACTCGTTGATCTTGCGCAGCAAGAAGGGTAGAGCGAGCTCCGTGAAGGCATTGATGGCCTGGCTGGTCGTGAGAACAGCGAACAATTGCGCGTGCATCCTATCCGGGTTGATCTCGAATTGAATCCCCCCATCATCACGCAACGCCAACCTCCCATCGGCCGTCGCGTCCGCAATGCTCCTCGCAAAGTAACCGCGGCGCACAATCTCGTCCATCAACTCCTGGCCAAAAGGGATATACACAAATGCGCTCAACGTGAGCGCACCGTAGGCGACGAATGCTTGGAGGGCAAACATCTTGACGGTCATGTACCAGTTGAAGTCGCGGTTGCTGAAGTGATTTTCCCAGGATGTGAGGGAGCGGGCGGTGGCTTGCCATGCGGCGAGGATTTGAGGGATGAAGACGGAGAAGAGAGCAGTGGGGATGAAGGGGACGAGGGATTTGCCCGGGCCAGCGTAGAGGCGAGTGATGAAGACCTGACGTGGCGTAGCATGGCGTGGCGGGGGGGTCAGCACTTCATCGTGGGATGGTTTGGCGAAGGGGGTGACGCGCGGCACTTACCTCAGTGACGAACATGGTGGTCAGGACAGCAGCGAGCAGACTAGCGAAAAAGGCCACGGCGGGCACGGAGCATGCGACGCGCAACTCACGTCTCCACCATTCGAACACCTCCTTCTCCTCTCCCGTCACCTTGTCCATCTCTCTCCTCTTGGCCTTAAACCCCACTCTGCGACTTTCCACATCCCCACATCCCAGGCAACCCCAGCGCACAGCAAGCTTGCGCTCTTTGATCCGCCACGACTCGACGAACATGCACGCCCACCCAACGAGGGCCAAAGAGTACAAGGGGTGGTACGGCGCGCCGGCGAGGTAGAAGCAGCCGCCGATTGCGGCGAGGGGAGCGAGGGCCTGAAAGTAGTAGAGGAGGAACGCAAAGTAGAATGCTAGCCCTTCGCCAAAATGGGCGCGTATCCCATCGAGATCTTGCGTGCTGATCGCCAAGAATGACTTGCTCGAGCCCCAGCGCTTGAGCCACTGCTTGTTGTACTCCTGGTCGTGCAGCGGGGTCATGTCGATCAAATGTGGGAACTCCTCCGATTGCAGGCGTAACCCTGCACCTCGGCGCGTGATGCCATCTGAAGTGGCTGGAGTGGAGGGGAGGGTGAGAAGCGTGTGCATATGACGGAGACGGTCCGAGGGGGAGAATTGGGAGAGGGCGAGGTTGTGCGTTGCACCCTTTGGGAGGGAGGAGGAGCGAGACAGCGAGGAAGAAGCGGGCTCTCCCGCCGTGGTGCGCACCCCGTGAAGGTAGTCGATGAGCCTGCGACCGACGACGCGATGCGGCGGGAGCGAGGCGTGAGGGCAAAGCAGAGCAAAAGGAAGGGAAACCAGGCTTGGTCAGGCACAAAGTGTCTCGCATCACCCATCGCGCGACCACTCACCCCTCTTCGCGTCCCACTTTGACAAGCGTCTCATCGCTTCCCCTCACAAAGAGGAGCACCTGCCCACTCCCCACCTTCCCCTCCCTGCTCGTAACCTGCAACCCAACATCCTGGATCCTCTCCACCAGAAGCTGGAACTCCCGCGCAATAGCAGCCTTCTCCGAGGAGGGGACCTTCCCCGCCTTCTTGAAGCGGGCGGGGACGGATTCGAAGACGAGGACGTAATCGACTTGGGGTTGAGATTGGGCGCTTGGACTGCTGGGAGTGGAGGGGAGGGATTTTTCTTGCTGCGAGGAAGAGGAGATGGGTGGAGCTGCCCCACCTGAGTATGTGGGGGCTGCAGCGCCCGTACCCGTGCCCGTAGCAGCGGCGTCGGTGCGATTGTTCATGCCTGTCTTTGCTGCGTGACGACGGGGACGTTGAGAAGAGAAGAAGGAAGAGGTCAGCGCGTGGTGCTTGTTGTATCTCGCTCCCAGGGCTCGACGGGGCGGTGCGTGCATGGCCCGTTCGCCAGCGCCAGCTCCGCAATGACCTCATCGAAATGAGTGAGGCGCGCCCCGCGTGGGCTTGTCGAGCTTGTACAAACCCCACCTGCTCAGGGAAGGTCAAAATAGCCCGCAAAGGCAGGAAAGCATCGAGAGTGCTGCCACACAAGTCCATGGGGCCGTCATTGTCTCACTGCCCTGCCATTGAGCCACCGATGGATCACTCCTGCTCTAGTCGACTTGGCCTGATCAGGCGTGTGGGCTCGGCGAAAGCGCCGTCCATCTGGCCGGGGAGTTGTTGTGTGTTTGCGTGCGGGCAAGCCAAGCGGCAAGCAGGCGGGAAGAAGAAGTCGAAACGCGGAAGGGCGGACTGAGAGCAAAGACGACCGCCGCCGCCGCATGACTCGCATTTCCTCTCTTCAATCCCATTTTCCCATCCCTCTTTCTTCGCCCCTCCTCCTCACCACATTCATCACCCAGCATGGTCTCTTCCGCCTCCCCCTCGCCCGGCGCCTGGACGCCCACATCCTGGCGCACCCGCCCCGTAGCGCAATCCGTCTCCTATCCGTCTGCCTCACATCTCTCCAACACGCTGCACCGACTCTCCACCCTTCCCGGTCTCGTCACCCCTCACTCCATCCACTCCCTCTCCACCCACCTCACCTCCGTCGCAGCCGGTCGCGCTTTCCTCCTTCAAGCGGGGGACTGCGCCGAGCTGTTCGCCGACTGTCGAGAGGACAAGATCGCGGCAAAATTGAGGCTGATCCTGATGATGAGCCTAGTCATTGTGTGGGGGGCGAGGATGCCTGTGGTCAGGGTGGGGAGGATAGCGGGACAGTATGGGAAGCCTCGTTCGAAGGACAAGGAGATGGTAGAGATGGAAAGCGGGGAGAAGAAGGAGGTGCTCACCTTCCGAGGGGATAATGTCAACGGATTCAGCCCCTCGGATCGTACGCCCGACCCGGAGCGGTTGCTGCAAGCATACTTCCACAGCTCGGCCACGCTCAATCACATCCATGGCCTGCTCAGCAGCGGATTTGCCGACCTGCACGCACCGCTCGACTTCTCCTTCGACCATGTACGTGACGAGGCTCTCAAGAGGGACTACAGGCAGATCGTGGAGAGCATTACGGACTCCCTCGACTTTATGGGGACGATTGGCGCCGATCCTAGCAGTGCTGGCGGGTCGTCGTCGTCGCTGAGTAGTGTCGACTACTACACGAGTCACGAGGGCCTCATCCTTGAGTACGAGGAGAGCCTCACCCGTCTGCACACCTCTTCCTCCTCCCAATCCTCCTCCTCTTCTCGCGCTCCCACAGCCGGCTATTACAACTTGTCGGCACACATGCTCTGGCTCGGGGACAGGACGCGCGACCTGAATGGTGCGCACGTCGAGTATTTCCGCGGGATCAAGAACCCTATTGGGATCAAAGTCGGGCCGAGCATGCAGCCTGAGGAGCTTGTACGGCTGCTGGAGATTGTGGATCCGGATGTCACGCCGGGGAGGGTGACGTTGATTGGACGATTCGGCGCGAGCAAGGTGCGTGCGCGACGGCATGAAGTGGCATGGCACGGCATGGCGTTGACTGACTCTCTCCCTCTGACCCCCCTCGCCACTCACTCACATCGCACATAGATCGAGTCGCACCTCCCTCCCCTAATCCGCGCAGTCCAATCCTCTCGCCACGCCAGCTCAATAATCTGGATATCCGACCCCATGCACGGCAACACCATCTCTCCCCCTTCGCACCCAGACATCAAGACTCGCCTCTTCACATCCATCGTCTCAGAACTCTCCGCCTCGTTCCGCATCCACGCCTCCCTCGGCTCACGGCTGAGCGGTGCCCACCTGGAGCTGACGGGCGAAGTGGACGAGAGTGGTCAGAGCGTGACGGAATGTATGGGGGGTAGTATGGAGTTGGGAGAAGAGATGCTGCGCGAGAGATATTTGACACACTGTGATCCTAGGCTGAACGCGGAGCAAGGGCTGGATGTGGCGTTTTTGGTTTCGAGGGAGTTGAGGGAGAGGAGGTTGCAAGGGAGTAGAAAGCCTAGCCCGAGCAGGGGGGCGTGAGTCAATGCGATACGATGAGTATTTGAGCTCGAGAGGGTCATAGAGCGAGTCAGCTGGTCGGGCGCAGATGTCGTCTCTGTCGTGTGAGTGAGGGAAGGAGATTGGACCCTGTTCTTCTCTGGCTGTCATGTCACGTCGAGATGCGCAGACGGAGAAGCAAGAGACCAACCGGCATCTGCATCTCTCTCTCCGTCTTGACGTGACTTGGTGCTCCGCCCACTCGCCCGTCCGCCTTCCCGCCCGTCCGCCCTGTCCCGGTGTTTCACGCTCATTGCAGCCTCGATGACGAGAGAGGAGAGGAGAGGGTCCAGATCCGGCGACGTTCGACGACGTCCAGCAATAGTAGCCGGACAGACAGACGAAGACAATTCATCCGTTTCGTTACTATCTTCATCCAGCCTCCTCATCTACTCTACTCTACGTTGTAGTGGGGCCTTTGTGTAGCAACAGCAGCCACAGCCACAGCAGCCACCAGAGCCAATTTCCTCAACGCAGCGCGGCATTCAGCCTGCTTCACTCTCGCCTCAGCCTGAGCAACGGCCACATCCAGCTTCGTCACCCCCACGCGGGAATAAGATACAGGAACCATGGCGCAGCGAGTCGCTCAAGTGAGCAAGCATCTGGACGGGGGCAAGCCGATGAATGGTGAGTTTCTGTCCGTCTTCTCTGCGTCTGGGTGGTGGCGGGGAGAGGCGGATGCGGAGAGGAGGAGGGGACGAGGGGAAATTGCCACACGACCATCACTCGCTCGACGTAATAGTCGAACGTCGCACGAGGCAAAGGAGACTCTCGCTGCATATTCGAGGTCGGCAACTTGTCGAGGCAAGTCAAAGTAGAGAGACAGAGAGCAACGCCTCTACCGGGGAAAAGGGGCGGGCGGGGGTCATGCGGGACCCCGTCGTCGTCGTCGTCGTCGTCGCCGCCCGTCGTGCGTTGTTGGGCTTGGCTTGGCCGCGCGGGGCACGGCGTCCACTTGAGAGTGGGAGGGGCGCATCGAGGGACGAGAAGCCGAGCGCCCGACCACAACGACGACGCATCTCGTCGCGGCAAAGTCACTGTCAAAGTCAAGACAAAAGTCGACTCGACTCATTGCTCACACAACCGCAACGCAACGCAACGCAACGCAACCTTCCCTCCTCCCCACACTCCTTCGTTCGTGAACAACTCCCGTCGCCCACTTCGCAACAATGGCATCAACAGACATCTGGTCCTCGGTCCCTCAGGCTCCGGCTGATCCGTGAGTGTCTCCGCCGACTCACTCGCCCCGACGAGATTTCCGATCAAGAAGCTGACATCTCTATCCCACCACTCCTTGGCCCCTGTGCTCGCCTCCCCTCCCCTGGCCCCAACCCCGCGCCCGCGTAGCATCTTCGCGCTCACTGCCCGCTTCAAGGCCGACTCGTATGACAAGAAGGTCAACCTCGGAGTGGGAGCATACAGGGACAATGCGGGAAAGCCGTGGGTCCTGCCATCGGTCAAGAAGGTGCGAGATGGCGAGGTGGCTGCGGCTTGCAATCTCCCCCTGCTAACCACTCGCTCCCATGCTTCACCCTCTCTCTCTCTTGCTCTCTTGCCCGCCCGCGCGCAGGCCCAAGCAGCCCTCATCGCAGACGAGTCGGTGGACCACGAGTACCTCTCGATTACGGGTCTCTCCGAGTTCACCTCCTCCTCGGCCAAGCTGATCCTCGGCCGCGACTCGCCTGCCATCGCAGAGAAGCGCGTTGCGTCGGTACAGACGATCAGTGGTACGGGGGCCAACCACTTGGGTGCCGTCTTCCTGAGCAAGTTCTACGACTACTCGAAGCTGGCAGGTGGGAAGAGGCAGATCTACATTAGCAACCCGACGTGGGCCAATCACAAGGCCATCTTCAATAGCGTGGGGATCACGCCTGTGGATTACCCTTATGTGAGCAGACGAGCGCAGAGTAACGAGTAGATGACGGCATGGACGAACCAGGCTGACCCACCTTCTCCCTCCTCCCTCCCCCCCCCTCTCTCCTCCTGGCAGTACGATGCAAAGACGGTTGGCCTCGACTACTCTGGCTTGACGCAAGCCCTCCAATCCGCCCCCAACGGCTCCGTATTCCTCCTCCACGCCTGTGCGCACAACCCCACGGGCGTAGACCCGACACGCGAGCAATGGCACCAACTAGCAGACATCTTCGAGTCAAAGGGACACCTCGCCTTCTTCGACTGCGCATACCAGGGCTTCGCTTCAGGAGATCTAGACGGAGACGCCTACTCTGTGCGCCACTTTGTGAGCCGCAAGACGATCCCCGTCGTCATCTGCCAGAGCTTCGCAAAGAATGCGGGACTGTACGGAGAGAGGGTTGGGGCCCTTCACGTCGTGTCGGCGACACAGGAACAGAACGATGCCGTGCTCAGCCAACTGTCCGTGATCCAACGCTCAGAGATCTCCAACCCGCCGGCCTTTGGTGCGCGTGTGGTCAGCATGATCCTCAACGACGCCTCCCTCTGGTCGCAATGGCAGTCAGACGTCAAGGAGATGGCTGGGCGAATCATCTCGATGCGAACGGCCCTGCACGACTTGCTGACCAACAGGCTCAAGACCCCCCCGCCGGGCCAGAGTGGGTCGTGGGATCACATCGTCAAGCAGATCGGAATGTTCTCCTACCTGGGACTGAAGCCAGAGCAGGTCAAGAGGATCGTGGATGAGGGGCATATTTATATGACGGGGAATTCGAGGATCAGCATGGCGGGACTGACTACGGGGAATGTCGAGTATGTGGCTGGGTGGATCGATCGCGTCTCACGCGAGTAGACGGATGACTTTGAGGATCCGTTGATTATACATTTGGCTTGTCGCCCATCCTGTCCTGTTGCCGACTCAAAATTGTACAAATGATCCAAAAGATGCTGGCTGCGAGCCGGCCGGCTGTGATGCTGCTCTTCCCACCTCTTGACCCCTCCCTCCCTTCCCCCTTGCCACCTCGCCACCCAGTGGTAGCGAATGGGCTCCCCCGCCTCGCCGGCCAGTCCAGCCCCCTCTGTCCCCTCGTACCGCTGACTTGAGGCTGGTGTATTGAAAAGCCTGCGAGCCGCCTTGTACCTGTGATCCATGTCCATCTCAATCACATCAATCAATCGTGCGCCCCCTCCCTTCCCCTCGCCCTATCCTCCCGTCGTTGCAAAACCCACGTCTTCTTACACTCTCGGCTGCTCGCGCAAAGAGACGTCAGTCTTTCTCCCTTGTCTCTCTCTCTCTCTCTTGTCCCCAGGACCCGATGCGCGCGCCACTCACTACTCCTCAAAAGCCCTCGTACACCTGGTGCGATCGTACCCATTGTCCTCGAGACACTTCATGCTCGCAGCAGCAGCGTGCGCGCAGGGGTCCGTGTATTTGGAAGGGGGCTTGGCAGAACGTGACATGAGAGGTTGCCAGTCACGAGGGGTGGAGTTGTCTGGTGGGGCGGACGAAGTGGTAGTGGAGGGCATGCTGGTGTGGGTCGGGGGAAAGTGTGGGGTAGAAGGGTGACGAGACGAGGACGGGGATGGACGGGGCGGAAAGCGGTGAGTTGCTTTGCTTGGCTTGGCTTGGTTGGAGGCCGCTCGAGCCTCAACGAGGCAGTCAGTCAGCCGTCCCGCTCCCGCTGCCGCCCTGGCTTTGCCTTGACGACGACGACGTGAATTCAAATTGGTTGGAGAGATTTGGCCGCCCGCTCGATCGAGGGACGACAGGACAGGCACGCATTGCCCGCCTTTTGACAACAACTTGTATCCGTGCCCTCTGCCATCACAACCCGCTTGCGCCCATCTTCATCACACTACTTGCCTTGCGCTCCTCTCGACTTCACTACTCAAGCAAGACGCCTCGCCTCGCCACGCCACGCCTCACCTCGCCCCGCCTCGCCCCCTCGACTGCCGTTTTGTGACCTGAACTACTGGCCCACCTGGCATGGTGGTCCCCGATGTGGTGCAGCGATGGAGGCAGCAACACTCAGACGGCACCAATAACGACGACGATGGCGGCAACACCAGCAACAATGCTGGCGCGGGGCTTCGCCGCGTCCCCTCCTTTCTGCAACCAGCAGGGAGACGCTATCGTAAGCTCCTAAGCTGGATCTCCCGCGAGCTAAACTTCTACCGCATCCACGTCCTCGTCTTCGTCTTCACCCCCTTGATCATGGCCGCCATCTTCTATGCGTCAAACGGACAGAACCATATACCCTTCATCGACTGTCTCTTCGTCTGCGTAAGCGCAATGACCGTCACTGGATTGGTGACGATCAATATCAGCACGGTCACCGCTTGGCAGCAGGCTATTCTGTTCATGTTGATGTTGTGTGGCAATATCAGCGCCGTGAGCGTTACGATGATCTGGTGAGTCGATCGCGAGAGAGGAGGAAGGGAGGAAGTGAGCGAGCGCTCACCACTGACATTGCGTCTCTCTCGTGGAATCGTGCAGGGTGCGCCGCCACTTCTTCCGCAAGAGCTTCGATAATGCCATTCGTAATAATGCTGCGGCGAGGAAGAGGGCAAAGGATATCGAGGAGGCTCATCATCTGCAGCGAAGGATGGTGAGCGAGCGCAGTCATTCCACTTGTTTCCCCACTCACCCACTTACGAAAATCTGCAACCTCTCCTGCTCGCGCTCGCTCGCAGGGGATCATCCGCCTCAAGCAAGCATTCGGCCTCTCCCGCAGGCACAGCAGCGACGACGAGATGGAGATGGATCGCACGAGCACGTCATCGACGGATCGCCAGGCAGAGGCAGAGCTGCGTGCCGCAGCGACAGCAAAGAAGAAGAAGCAGCAGCACAAGGGACCCTTGAGAACGGACATGATTCGCAGGGTGGACCAGCCTGCTATGCTGATCAATCCGATGGGGATGCCTAGCGAGGGACATCCAGCCGCACAGCAGCAGGGAGACGAGCCGCAGAGCACCGGTACGGGCGGGCCAGGTGGGATCTTGACAAATACGGAGCGCAGGTCCATCGACGAGGACAGGGGTTCTCAGCAACAAGGGCATGGGCAGGGGCAAGGGTCTGGGCCCGCAGTTAGGATCACTTTCCCCGATGAGCAAGAGCAGCGCGATCCAGACGAGGCAGCCCCTCGCTCTCCTGGCCGCCATCGACGACAGCCTTCGAGCGGCAGCATGCGTGGCCATCGGCGAAGCGCTTCAGGTGGCAGCGGGAACGGCAGTGACGTCAACAGCAATCCACTCGCCCTTTTCCGCACCAGCCGCATCGGTGGAGACGAAGACGACGCAGAAGAAGCGGCAGAAGACGGTGAAGACAATGCCCACGTCCTCGTCGAATCTCCCTCGCAGACAAGCATGGTCTCCCCTCCTTCACCCGCCGCCCCAACAGCCTCACCTCGCACACGTTTCCACGACGTCGACCCCCCGAGCATTCGCATGCGTCGTCGTCGCGGCTCAGACCCTAGTGGCTCTGATCGCCTCCATGTTCGTCGAGGCTCTCAGCCTGCCCCTCTCCACCTGCCCAGCGCCTTTGCCGGTATCGACTGGCGGCAGGGCGAGGACCGGCTGCCCCGTTCGCAGACCGTCGAGTTCGCCGAACCGCCACGCACGGCTACGCGACCGAGCACAGCTACAGCTACAGGCACGGCCACTTCCATGTCGACGCCAGCGCCAGGCCCCGATCGCGGCTACACGACGGGCGTCTTCCCCAAGGTGCCCACCTCAGCCGGCATGGGCACCCTCCCGCGCCAACGCACCTTCGAGCGGACAATGACAGGCGTCTCCTCTCGCCGAGCAGGGGGAATTCCCATCACGCGCACCATGACCACCTCGGCGAAGGAGCGCGGGTTTGGTGGATTTCCTACGCCCATCGATCTTGCAGGACGCGGGATCAAGGCCGTACTCCCCGGCGTACGCGAGAGGGTCATGCGCTCCACCACCATGCCCCGTACCTCTACTATTGCGTCGACGCACAGCTTCACGCGCGTCGGTACCCAAGTCGGGCCGGATGGCGGGGTCAAGTCGGCGCCTTACCTCAGCTTCGACGTCAATGTGTACGGCAACTCGATGTTCCACTCTTTGACCGAGGCGCAACGTGAAGAGCTGGGTGGGGTCGAGTATCGCGCCCTGGATATGCTGGCAAAGATCGTGCCGGCGTACTGGTTTTGCATTCAGATGTTCATGGTCGTCCTGGTCGCGCCGTACTTGGCCAGCGGGGCGTTCAACAAGTACCGCAGCGTCTTCCAGTCGCAGGGGGCCTATGAGCCGGATACCACGTGAGTCGCGCGCGCGCGAAGAGCAGGGTCGCCCATACGTTCGCAGGCTAACCAATGCTTGACTTCTTCTTCCTGGCCGCGCTCGCAGCTGGTTCTGGTTCTTCCAAGTCACCTCGGCCTACTCCAATACGGGCATGTCGCTCATTGACACCTCCATGACAGGAATGGCGGACGCCTACTTCCTCCTCATCCCAATGGGCATCCTCATCCTCATAGGCAACACCGCCTTCCCCGTCTTCCTGCGCTTCTGCATCTGGCTCTACTCTCGCCTCACGCCCAAGACATCTCGCACATACGAGACGCTCCGCTTCATCCTCGACCACCCGCGTCGCTGCTTTGTCTACCTCTTTCCCTCGGGACAGACGTGGTTCCTACTCTTCGTCATCGTGGTCCTCAATGTGACGGATTGGGTCTTCTTTGAGATCCTCGACATCGGGAACCCGGAGATCGAGTCCATCCCTGTCCCACAGCGCATCTTCGACGGTCTCTTCCAGTCCATTGCAGTGCGCGCCGCCGGGTTCCAGGTCGTCTCCCTCCTCACGCTCGCCCCTGCCGTCCAGTTCTTGTACGTCGTCATGATGTACATCTCCGCCTACCCCATCGCCCTCTCCGTGCGCAGCACAAACGTCTACGAGGAGCGTTCCCTCGGCATCTACACGGAGAAGGGCACGGGGGACGACCCAGAGGAGGCAGAGCTCCCCAACGAGGTCTCGTCGCGCGGCTGGGGCACCTACCTCGCTGCGCACGCTCGACGCCAGCTCGCCTTCGACATCTGGTGGCTCGGCTTCGCACTATGGCTCGTCTGCATCATGGAGCGGGGCAACATCCAGGACCCGGAGTCCAACGGGTGGTTCACCGTCTTCTCCTGCCTCTTCGAGCTGACTTCTGCATACGGAACCGTCGGCTTGAGCACGGGAACGCCGTACGACGCCTTTTCCCTCTCTGGGCGCTTCGGTACGCTCGCCAAGCTGGTCGTCATTGCTACCATGTTGAGGGGGAGGCACAGAGGGTTGCCCGTGGCCATCGATCGTAGTATCATGTTGCCCAAGGAGCTCGAGGACCAGGATGCCGTCGACGAAGCGTGGAGCGTTATGGATGGGGCGGCCGCGAGGGAGATGGAGCGCACCTTTTCGCGCTTGGCGACGGGCAGTTTTGGACGCGGTGGAGTCATGGAGGAGAATGTCGTCGACCTGGACGCGGGGACGGGAGGCAAGACGTACGGTGATGCGAAGATGGACAAGGAAGATGAGGAGGGCAATTCCCACTCGGACTCGGGCTCCGACTCCAAGGCCGCCAGCCTGGTGGACGGAGCCGGGTCCCCCGAGAGCAGCGGCTCAGGCTCAGGGTCGGGAGGGAGCGCCAATGGTAATCACCACTCCGCGACCACCGGCTCGCCCGCTCTCGCCCCCGCACCGCCGTACAGCAGCACCGCTGTCGCCGCTCCGACCCCTGCCTCGCACTTCGCAGGGAGCCATCGCCTCTCCCGCTCCCTCTCGCCCTCCTCAAGCGGCATCGGCATGGGCATCGCAGGCGCTACGCCCGGCGCGGCATTTGGGCTCGACGCAATTCAGGAGTCGCAACGCGGAGGTGGTGGGAGTGGGGGGCGCACCCCGGTCTCAGAGGAGGAGAGACCCGCCTTATCGCGCGCGCCGAGTGGGAGCGAGGGGAGCGGGAGTAGCAAGGGGAAAGAGAAAGCCGAGGAGGAGGTGGAGGAGGTGGCGAGCAAGAAGGAGAGATGACCATTCGCCCCCCCCTGGGCCGACGCGACTCAGATTCCGGCGATACATGACAATGATGATGGTTGCAATTTCCCACTTCTTTCGGCTTCGCATCCATCTAATGACATGACATTCGATTTCACTCGTCGCGTGCATCAAGCAATGCGTGCCACGCCCTTTGAGTTTGCGATGCCAGGACGACAGAATTCGGATATCGATCAAGTGCAGGGCCCCTCGAGATGATACGGCGGGCGCAGGGCTGCTGGGCGTGTGATTGTTGGGCAACCTCACACCAGATGCGACGCTTTCTCCGTCGAATTTACTACCATAATGTGCGCGCGAGGAGAACCGGTAACCTTCGGCGCCCTTTCAGCACTTCTCTGCTGATCATTCCTCACCGTGACCGCGCGCGCGAGGCTCGCACCTTTCAAACGATATCCCCGACTCCTTTGTCGCTGCGTACCATGCCGCCCTTGCCACCATTCCGGATTTGCGTCCTACCGAAACTCAGCCAACACGGAATCGCCATGGCCGATGTAGCCCTTTTGGTGTGTTTGGGAGCCATTGGGAGGGATCTACTCAGGGATTGGAAAGAGGGTGTGTGCGTAGAGCTGAGCGTAG